CCGATCTCTGTCTCGGCTGCGTCGTTGTCCAGTCGGGCCGCCGGATTTGAGCGCATCTGGCCGCCTGATTTGTGCGCATCCAGCCGGCGGCGGCTGTGCCTAGCCATGGATTGGCTGGGCACCGGACCACACAACCCCGACAACACCTCTGCGCGGCATGTAGGCATGGACTCCGCCTCTAGCCGCTCGGATCTACCCTATCGGAACGGCGCCGGCAAAAAAACGCACGACCGTCATCCAGGCTCGGCGCTGCCCCAGCAGCTGTCGGATCACCGTTGCCGCTCATAAGGTGCGACGACTGCCCATGGCAAGTTGTTCGCCATGTTTCTACCACATCGGAACACCCGGAGTGGGTGTTCATCAAGTGCAAAAAAGATAGGGTATATGCTTGTTTTGTTTCGGTTGTGCTTCTGGATTTAACGTAATGTCAATAGCTCCCGGCTCATACGCAAATTTGCATGTAGGATGGATGCAAATTTTGGTATAGCGAAGAAGAAACATCAATCTATTGATTGGGCGAAATTTGATGGATGCTCGTGCACTCCTTACCAGAATAGAGGCTAGAGATGAGATTCGATGTGAAACAACGTCTACTTCTTTAGAATCAAACAAGAAAGAAGTATACAAGATCAAGAATCCGTGGATCAACAATGAAGGCATCGAGAAGATATTAATCCAACTTGTGGGTGCAGTTATGGAAGTTGGATTTATGTTAAAATGCCTAATTACTCTTGTTTTTTTGTCTTATTATTCTTGTTAAGAATTGGCGAATGCACTACCATGTATCAAAATGCCATTGATGAAATAAAAAAATGTGTTGGCAACAAAAACGTGTGCATACGGGCATCGGACGGACCCGATGCCGCCTCGCGTTGGGCGCACGACCGACGCATCCACAAATCCTGGTAGACATCGCCCCATTGTCATCCCTAAACAGACAAAATTCAGACAAAACAGACATCCCGTTTGTGATCGTGCGTTGGAGTTGGCCTAACAAACCAGATTAGGATTATGATTAACAAATCCAAGTGCGACAGAGAAGGAATCAGGAGCCGTTGAGATGGAAGGAAGGACGATCACGTGCGAACAACTTACTCCCTCCGGGGAGTACGTACGTAAGTCGTTCCGGCCGGGCCCATCGATCGATCGCGGGGCTGGGGCTGGGCTAGCGTGCAACGCCGGCCGGGACGCTAGTTAGTCAGGGCACTTTTGGATCCTCTAATCGTGACGGCGCTACCACGTGCACACCCATGTCCATGCGAGACTGATGGATCCATATCGATCAGCTAGCCAGCTCTGTCGTCGGCGGCCAGTGGGAGGGACGTCGAGGTCGCTCCATCACCTCGACGCGCGCGAGTCGTTTTACGGCGAGGTGAGGCACGCCGGCAGGCAACGTGACGGGCCCGGCCAAATGGTTCTCGGATTTGGACCTTTGATGTAACGGCGCGCGATCGTGAGATCGGTGGTTGGTGTACACGGTCTCAGGGCCACACCATGGTACGCCGGTGTCACGTAGATATTCGAGCGGTATGGCGAGCACATGAGCAGCGACGCGACGGCGTGCTGCTCGGCGGAGCGCTCGAGTGGAGTGCCCCGGCCGGCGACGCGTGCATATGCATGGCCCCAGCTAGCCGCTGTCGGCCGGCCTGCACGGCGGGGGTGCGCACGGGCGCGCGCTCTACGTACGTGCATGGAGCGCGTGGCTGTGTCTGGGTTGTCCATCGGCGGCGCACGAACGGAATTACACAGGCCGACCGGTGTGGTTCAGTTCACCCTCCGGCAGTCCGGCGTGTACGCGCTGGAAATCAAGTCCACGTGTGCACGATCGATACACACTCCAGCACTGGAACCTACCGCATGCTATAGGTAGGGACTAGGGAGATTGAGCTCAGTAAGGGAGTCATGGATGAAATGCCATTACCAGGAGCAGGAGTACGTACTCGCGGCGCCCGCCTCCTCCTGGATGAAACGGTGAACTGCCTGTTTCCGTAACAAGAAAAGAAGAGTACTGTATATTAGTTTTTTTTTTGCGGGTAGTACTGTATATTAGTTAAACACTAGGATGTTTAAAGAATAAAAGGTTAACAACTAGGAAAGGTGAAGTACGAGCACATCAATCGAGAGCTACAGGCCACAGCTGGCTGATTATCAGTACGTTGCGGCCAAAAGAGAGAGAGAACTGTTTATCAGTACGAGGGCACGAGAGTGAAGACGATTGCGATGTATTCCTTCGTTCCATAATATAAAAAGCGTTTAAATTACTAAAATAACGATTTAAACATTCTTATATTAATTTACGGAGGGAGTACTCTCTACGTATCAAAATATAAGACGTTTTTTTAGGCCAGCTTGTTTAGCTTAGGAAACGTCTTATATTTTAGTTAAGACGTAGTATATTCCCAAGTGTTATGTTTGCTACAGTAATTTTTCCGCTCATGGCTCCTGCCTTGCCTCGTGGCATCTCCAAGGCGGACCCGCAAACTGCTCACGTTCGTTCGAACCGAGCTGTCCGGACTACACAAGCCTCCAACGCGGGTCTGTATCAGTTCGCGGGGCGATCCGAACGTGTTTTCTCCTGTAAATTGGAGACAAAACTAGAGGAGGTTTGCGGGAGTCCGAACACCCGAAACGAAGGACTCTGACACCCCCGGCCCACCCAATCCCCCCTCCCGATCCCATTTTCTTGCCCTCCCCCCCTTCCCCCCTTGCTTTGCATCCGCACCCTCCACCTCCTCTGCCGTCGCCCTACGTCTCCGGCCGCCACAAAGGCATTGCCGAACGTTCGCAACTAGCACCGACGTGCTCGCTCGCCTTTACGATGGAGCTGTCCACCCTGGAGCCGTTTGTACCCAGGTACACTCCGCCCCTGTCGACGACCTCCATGGCGCAGACCATGCCCGACAGTTGTTCGGTCAAATGCCATTGACCTTATTTTCAAATGCTATGCCTTTTTAGGGTACGAAGGATGATGAGTTACTCAACCATGGAGGATGAGTTGTTGTGCGATGCGTGGTTAGCCGTATCTGCGGATTTCGTAGGCAGGAGCAGAGGGGAGGCCTTCTGGGAGCAAGTACATGAAATGTGTCATGCATGAAAGCACATTGCGCTCTATGACATGTACATCATTCAACCACGCAACGTGAGTCATCGTTGTATCGCTGGCATGCTATCCAAATCAACGTCACCAAGTTTTGCGTCGTGGTTCGTCAGCTCGAGGCAAGGTGGCCATTGGACGTGGCAGAGGACGAGATCGTAAGTTTTGCTTCCTCTTGTTCAACTTGTTGATTGATTTATTCACTCAATGTTAGTCTACACATTATATGTAGCCCGCATGCGCTGTTGTGATGTACCATAGGAAAGAGGGACGGCCATTTATGTGCACACACTGTTGGAGGAAGATGAAGGGGCAGTATGTGTGAGACGACATGATCCGTTCATGAAAACTTGTTGAACATTCAGTTAATCTCGTTGAACTTGAACCGTTGTTGTACAAGACTTATTTGCATGCTACATATGGATGATTTGTGCTATTTTCTATCCGAACTTTGATAAATATCGACCGGTTTACATGAATTTCGTCCGGTTTGTTTAAATGCGGGTTGAAACTTATGCAGCTACGATTGGATGACGTCCTCCCACATCCATGTCCACGGACCGGTCCCTTGCCCGCGGACGGATGCGGGAGAAAATTTGCGGGTTACCGTTGGAGATGCCCTTAATCCACTTTTATACTTGTCCATAGTGTAGTGCGTCATTATACCATTTAAAACTTCTTTCAATACGAATTTAATGATATAATTTTTGCTCTTGCCGCAGTCGCCCACGTTGGAATGTTGGGGATATCGCTTATCGGGAACTTATCGGCCGACCCATGATAAGAGGTAAATCGGTTAGTTTGTCGGCATATCGGCCGATTTAAGATCATATCAGCTGATTTATCGGCCGATTTATCTTATCGGTCAGACAGCGGTAAGTGATAAGTCAGCCAATTTATCGGAATATCGAAAGATATATTGAACAACACTTCAATTTATGATCAAACTTAAATCTCAAAAAATAGAACGCACTACATTATGAAATAAAGGGAGTATGATCAACAATGAAAGTTGGTGGTGTATCTCACTATCTCAATGACCAGGAGCACGCCCTTGGCATTTCCCCATAAATTAATCAGCAGTTACGCAGATGGAACTTTGTTGAGAAGCCTGAACCGAACCGAACCGAAGTCTCTGCGACGTGACATCTGAGGAATCTCAGTGGCCGGCGAAGATGATAGATAGGCTCAACCAGAACAAACTTTAGCCTCGGGTTAGGATCTCGCTTTCGTCTCTTACGAAGCCACTGAATCACTCGTCACCATAAAACAATTCGCGGTCGCATGCTTGTTTATCTCGATGTAGCGGTTGTCCCGGGCCCAAGGAATTCCCCGACGGCGAAAGCACATCCCCTCGCGACACTTTTATCTGATTTGTCATCCGGTGCATAAACTACTCCTTAACGACCAAATCATGTCCGCCAACGACAGGATTAGCACAGGATTAGCACATCCGGAGGCGAGCAAAGGGCCGCTCCGATCCAGATCGATCGTCTGTTGACACGATGGGTCGACCGCTATGTAGGCGTTGGGTTGTTGCACGCACCGGCAGATTGTTCCATGGGTTGTCAGTCGGCCACTGTGCGACGTTCTCCTTCCCTGTGCTGTGATAAATAGACACGGCGAGGGCCAGCCTTGGCACATACGGCGACAAGCAGATGAGCAGTGCGCGTCAGAGCAACCAAGGCACGGCCAACAGCGACAGGGTGCCGGCGTGCCGCTCACCGACGCCTTTGAGCTCATCTTGTGATGCACTCATCAAAACCGTGCGACCGGTGACCGCGAGCCGCGTGATCCGGTCACGGTCAGATCGCATCCGCCCCTCGCCAACCATACCCTGCTTGACAAGGCGCGGGCACGTACTGGACGGAACGAAATTTCTGCAGAGGCAGTCAATATTCGTGCGTTACAATCCCGACGGTTCGGTGCTGCTGGGGTTACAGTCTGCTCTGTCCGACTTGATGAACTTCAGCCACTTCCAGTTGGCATAGGACGCCGCTTCGTCCTCAAACGGGACGGTGTCGTCGTCCCCGTCGTGGGGCGCCTCGCCGGACCGAGGCGTCGCCGGAATTTGCTCCCGGTATCCTCGCGCCATCTCCTCCGCCTCGGCGAACACCTTCTGCAGAAAACAAAGGCAATGAAAATATGTGACTACCTTCAATGCCGGCTAAACACATATACCCCCTTCGTTCCTAAATATTTGTCTTTCTAGAGATTTCAACAAATGACTACATACGGAGCAAAATGAGTGAATCTACACTCTAAAATATGTCTCTATACATCCGTATGTGATAGTCTATTTGGAATCTCTAAAAAGACAAATATTTAGGAACGGAGGGAGTAGTATGTAAAACTGAAGAGCCAAAGAGGCAGTGGTCTTACCTCTTTGTTGGAGAGAAACAGTCCAGGCTCGCTCTCAAGGTCCCTAATACTGCACAGAGCCGAAACGCGTGAGCTCTCAGTGTTGCATACACATGGTTTTTAGTTTTTGCAAGTTTTTTTCGCGTACCTAAGAGCAATTCTGTCTGGCGTCGTCGATTTGATCACAAGCGCTTTCACTCTCTCGCCCACCCTGAGCGCGTCACTGACGGATCTCAGCTGACCGTGTGTTATCTTTGATACATGCAGCAAACCACTGCAGAAGCATCACAAGCTGTAGATTAAACATCCGAAATGTTCCCACCTCTAGATTGTTCACAAGCTTGCCATGTGGTAGAATGATGTCTATATATGGTTCAATGAGACTGGATGGGGTCCAAACTTTATTCGGGCATGCAACAATACAAGATGGATAATACTACCTAGGGTCCGAATTATAAGATGTTTCCAATATGGACTACATAAGGACTGAAACAAGTGAACAAACACATTAAAAAGCGTCTATATACATCCAATTCAGAAAAAAGTTACTCCTCCGATCCATATTAATTGTCACTGCTTTAGTAGTACAAAGTTGTACTAAAGCAATGGCAATTAATATGGATCAGAGTGAGTAGAACATCTTGGAACAGAGGGAGTGCCTTTTGAAAGGAAAGATGCATACTCCCAATGCTTGAAGTTATATGATCTATTATAAATGGAAGCGAAGCATGACATGTAAATACTTGGAAGTATACATGCTCCAAAGGAACAAGACAAGTCCTTCGCTTGAGCACAGCGCAATCACTCATAATCTAAGCCAGGAGATTGATAAAAGAAGAGATACCTCATTATCTGGCGAATTATCATAATTTCCAGTGGAACTCATCAGTGTGAAGGCTAGTCAGTAAATCTCATGTTTCACTAAAATTAACAATCACTCTTTTGTTCAGGTAATCCAGTTAAGAATGTCAAAAGGAGCAAGACTGACAATTATACTTATATAATCTAGTCAAGACTTAGCGTCATCAATGTTGCCAAGATTTAAAACATATTGTGGCAACAGCCACCTTCTAAATTATTTGGTAAACCTATTTTTCGTTTGTCATAAAATAGGAGTAAGCCATACTAAAACATATGCACGACTATAAGAGAATATGGCCAAAAATGAAATTATCAGCAGCTACTAATGAAATGATGGAACTGGAAGGTATGCTCCTTCAACTTTCAAGTGTAAAATGAACTTTGGCAGAAAAGAAGAAATGCCATATTTAGTATGTATTCCCTCCGTTCCAAAATAGCTGTCATGGTTTTAGTTCAGTTTAGTGATATTACCTTCTGTTAGTCTCCCCAATCCTTATTTGTGCACCATATGGGAACAACTTGCGGACTGTCCCTTCCAAGAGAGCCCCTTCTTTAAGGTATAACATTGCCTAAAAGAAGTACCGAAGATCAAAATTAATCAGAAGAACTCAAGGGTACTCATTGTTCTCTCATACAAGTCAAAATCTGACCAATGTTCTGCAGAATTCAATTGATATCGATACTTCAAGTGTATTTATCACGAGTTGTAGACTGTAGCGAAAGCTATTTAAATACATTTCTTGCACTGTGTCTTTAGGCAATTCAATAAGTTAGATGGACCAAGATTCTCTACTATGAAGAGCCACAGTAAAAACACATGATATCCTTGTAAACAATATGTTAGTGAATGCTACAGGTAAGGACAACAGACTGAACAGAGGCCCATGTAAACATGCAGTTAACTTACCCAAGCCTCTTTTTCACTAATTATTAATTCGTTAGTCCTTTCGTCAATCTTTGTAATACAGACATGTATCTGTCGACCAACCTGTGCACAAGAAACAATATAATTCACAAGTCACAACCACTTTATTGACAATAACTTGACAAAACTAGATAAAAGGGATCATGCGTCTTACATTGTTCTTTAGATCTGTAAAATTTCTTGCTCTAGTCATCATCTGAGGCTTAGGTAGGAATGCCCGGAGCCCCTAAATGATGGCATCATGGATGTGAGTTTTAGCTACAAAATTTGAAAGTGAACTGTAATGTAATCCATTGAACTCGTATGAGTAATCCGCACCTCAATTCTTGACAACAAGCCTCCAGCATTCCACTCAGAAATTTTAACCTTGATAGGCACATTTAGCTGCTTTATCTGGACATCAGTATGTACAGAAATTTTCATATATAAAACATTCAGAATGAAAATAATAGCTATTGAACTCAAAACTTCATAGGTCACAGTCATGTCCAATCATCAATTGTCATTGAAAAAACATGACGAAAACAAGGGTTTTCCATCCTACAATTTTTTCCATTGCACTGCTCTGCATCCAAGATTTGAAACATCAATTTTACAATACAATAGGCTAAATGACGGATTCATGTACGTTGTTATTAGTTGGAAGAGTACAAGGTTTCATGATCATAATACCAATCATTTCTCCATGTACTTAAGCATGAAATCACTCTACGTTCTTAACAAAAACATGAGATACTCTGTTTTGGGCTGCAACGCTGATTTTGACTCATGCCATGCTAAGAACCATCAAGACAAAATTGTGTATTAACCTAGGAGCAAGCTATGATAGTACATAATTGCCTACTAACCCACAAGCCAGATGTATATCACACTGCATTAATAGCTAGAGCTTTTAGATAGGCCAGCCAGTATATGAAAAATATACTTAGTACAAGCAAGACGGCACTCATGACTCAGGGGTTGCAGATCTACTCCTGATACCAATCATACACACTACATTAGTAGTGATGTTTGAAGTATCTGTACTGCATTATGTTCAGACAAACTATATCTGTATCTGGTACTGAACTACTGACAGTGAGCATCAAAACATACATTGAACGATCAGTTCATCAAATTCCAACAACAATAATAGAGAGGAGAGTCATAGAGGACCTGCCTCACTCTGTGCCACGCGACGCGCCGGAACAGCCTGCGCGCAGACAGCAACGGCCGCCCGCCAAGTGTTCGGCCGAGGACCTCGGCGAACACCACCGTGCCAACGCCCACCACCGGCGCACATTTCTCCTTCCCGGTCCTCCCAAACTTCACAATCCCGCCCCCGCCGGCCGCGACGCCGACCCTGCCTTCCGCGGCGAACTCCCTCGCGCCGCCCGACGCGACGTCGCACGCCAGGTAAGCGAACTCCTCCGGGGACGCCGGCGCCGCCTCCTTGGTCAGCAACAGCGCCGGCTCGCCTCCGGCGCCGACGTCTACGTCGAGCGCCCGCGCGTCGCCCCCGACGACGACGCCGACGACCAGGTCCCCGGGCATGGGGTCGTAGTAGATGACCCCGCGCCCGGCCGACACAGCCCCGTCCTCCGAGGCGTGCTTCTCCTTCCCGGCGGCGGCGGCTTCGGACGTGCCCTCGCTGGCGTCGGCGCCCTTCACCTGGAAGAAGTTGAGGTAGGGCGCGAGCGCCTCGGCCGTGGACGGCGCCGGGGCGGCCTCCGGCTCGGGCTCGTCCTCCTCCGGCGCGGAGGGGGACGGGAAGGGCTTGTCGAGCAGGTGGAGCTCCTCGCCTCCCCCTCCGCCACCCCCGCCCTCGACCACATCGGAGGAGGAGGAGGGTGAGGAGCGGAGCGGCGAGGGAGTTCGCCCGCTGAGTAGGACGGGGATGCGGGAATGGAGGCGGTGGCTCGCCGCAGGCGCTCCGTGCTTGGGTCGGCGGGCACGCGGGGAGACCGACGCGGCGGGGAGGAGGGAGAGGAGCGAGGGCGGCGGCATGGCGAGGCGAGCTCGCGGGGAGCGAGCGGCGTGGCGGTCAGCGGCTGTGCTGCTCCAGCTCTATCTCCTCGCGCCGATAATTTTTTTTGGAAATTTCTCATCGGCAGCAACCTCATCCTCCATTCCCGCTATTCTGGTGAACCAATCGGCCCGGCCCATCAGCGAAGACGTAGACCAGCCCAGGCTTCCGCCTGGCCCAGTAAAGTCGAGCGCCACTGACATGCGGGACCTAGGTCGAGCCGTCTGGGTCTGACCGACGCGAGCCCGAATCGACAGTCGCAGTCGGATCAGAGAGCGGCGGAAGGAAGGGGAGCGAGCGAGCAGAAGCAAAGGAGGCGGAGGGGGAGATGGGGTTCATGCTGCGGGTGAGGCTGGCCTCCTTCTTCGCGGGCGCGGCCGCCGCGGCGGCCGGCGGCAGCTACTTCCTCTACAAGGACTACAAGCTCGCCCACGACTCCACGGCCCTCAAGGTACGGGCCGCGCGCGCCCCTCCCCGCCTCAGATCTCGGACGCTGCACCGCCCCAAACGCATCCGCCCGCGGTTCCGCGCCCCTCGTCTAGGCAGTAGGACGGGGGGAATGGGGAAACCCCCCCTCCTCGATGCGTCGTCCTCTGTGAAGGATGGATCGCACTTCGCACTGCTGATTTCCTGACGCGGGTCGAGGAAACTACTTCTTTGTTTGTTTGTAGATCATGTATTCATGTTGCTGTTGGCATCATTGGTCTGCCCTGAAAATTTACGCCAGCATCGATCTTGGATAGGCACCAGGAGAACGTATCCAGGTCCGTCCGAAAATACTTGTCATCAAAATGGACAAAAAAGGGATGTATCTAGAACTAAAATACATCTAGATACATCCCTTCTATTCATTTTGATCGATGACAAGTATTTCCGGACGGAGGGAGTATATACTTTGGGATGCCTGTGGTGCCACGTTTTGTTTGATTACAACTTGTGTTCTGTCTGCCTGCCTACAAATCAGCATGTCTAGTTTCTGCAAGCCGTGATTGGTAGCCAGAAATGCCGTTTTGAGTCTGACCTCTATGGCTCACAGTTCCAGTACCACTTCGTGGATGTCTTGGCGTACCAAGCTAATGGTCTGTTTGTCAGTTCAGTAATTTGTCATAGCTTGCTCTGATCATAGGGGTAATCGTGGGGTACAATGATTTGAGTAGGATCCACGGTACAATGTTGCATCGATACATACTCGCCGTACTTTGTTCATAGTTTCAGGCAAGCAATTGGATATGGGGCTGCCTAGGATAGAGTCAATATCTTTTGGGGTACAATGATTTAAGTGATGTGCTGTCTTGTCTAAATGCATGTGACTGGTTTGCTGCAACTTGACCTCCGGATGATGGATCGATGGATATGTAGTGTTCTATAATTATCTCATACCACACACTGAAATGCCTATTTGCTTGGTAAGTGATAACATTGTGTCTGCAGTCCCTTGGCACATTACAAGATGATCATGTCTTAACAACATAGAATGGAAGCGATCATGAATTTGGAGATGCATCTAGTGTTAACAGCATAACATTTATTATTGTTGAATTTTACTCACTTTTTTGCTGTGCATTGGTATTTGTTGATGCAGCATATCTCAGGACCGTTTCAGTTTCATAGGCACAACCAGTCTTCAAAGTTCCAACATATATTTGCACAAACATATATGTTTTTTTTCCAGAGTAAACTTAAGTATAGACTATATAACATTTTGGACATTATATTACATATATCATAACTCTTGAAGCTGGCCTGTTCAGCTCATCAACAACAACGTTGGTGGTTTTGCCTACCTTCCAGTAAGAAATCAAATTATGCTAACTTCATCAGAATGATGGAACAATAGATATCATGACATTGAATTTGAGAAGAACACTAGGTTAATTCATCATGCCTGATATACCATGGTCATTGGTATGCACTGGTGGGATTGTTCAGTAGTTCATGTAAATGTGCAGAATTTCATAGATGAAAGGCTGAAATTTGTCGAGGTAGATGCGATAAAGACACATGCTCGTATAGTTATCCCATAAGAAGTTGCTTGAAATGTGGGGATGGGTGTCTTATGCTAATTTTGAGCGGTTGTAACTAACCTTAGTTGAGGATGTTTTTCTTCTCTGAGGTAAAGCTTAGTTGTGGATGTTTTTCATAAGTGAAGTTGTCTTTCACATGTCATGGGCGTTTAAGCAGCGCAATCATTGGTCTGAGCTTCAAGATTGAGGTTTCCATACATGTGATGTTTGTTAATCATGCTCCCTCTGCATTTGCACTATACACTTGCATGATTCTGGTTGGGTTGTAGTCTTGTAGATAAGCATCTGATCTCTAAATCACGACTTTTCCAGGTGAAAGGTCTCCACGACCATGTGGACGCCCGTTACAAGGCTCTCGACAAGCGACTTGCAGCTCTGGAAGCCCAGAAAAGCACCGACTCCTCTCCGGCTGTGGACGCGCCATCGGGCTAGTCGTCCGTCTGTGGACGCGCCATTGGGCTAGTCGTCCGTCTGTCCATCACGAGGCTTGACAAGTGGATGATTCAAAGTTTGTTTACTTTTAACATGCGCGCGCTATCTGCTTCTCCTTTGAAGGCAAGGGGCCTGTGACTGACAGCGAAATAATCTAGCCAATGGTTTTTATTTTGTTGTTTGGGCAAGAAGAATCTTGTTTTTTGTTGCATGATGATGGGATACATCAGATCTTTGCACACCATTTCACACTTGCTGTTTGTTTTACTAGCAATGTAGTACTCCCTCCGTCTGGAATTACTTGTCACGAAAATGAATGGAAATGGATGTATCTAGAACTAAAATATGTCTAGATACATCCATTTCTGGGACAAGTATTTCCGGACGGAGGGAGTAGATGGTTTATGATGCCTGTTTTTCGCTGGTTTGATAGTCTCTGCTGATGAAGGGAAAATTAGCGCTGGTTGGTCCATGCTTGCACGTTTTATTGTGGAGAAGAAAAAGAAAAGTCCAGCTGATAAGCGTTGGTAGTATCTGCAAAGGGATCCGATCCAGCTCAACATCACCTTGTCCACTCGCCACGGCGACCCCGTTGCGTGTGGCCATGCCTCTTGCCGACCTCTGTCTGTTTCCTAATTCCCTTTTATAATTTCTTTCAAATTGCTTGCTTATTGGCTCGGAACGGTTCAGGCCTGTGATGATGATCAGAAGAAGTAATCGGGAGAAGCGGTTTGATTATTGGCATTAGGCAACGGCTGCTTTCATCTTGATCTTGGACTGTTCTAATTAGTTAATCATATCGAGATGACTTAACTATAGCCATTATCAGCTATCGTTATTGGTTGCCCACCATCTGCTGGTGCAGAAGAAGATGATCATTAACTGGTTGAAGCATTGTTTCCACCACTATTTCTTCCATGTATGAAAAATTCAAGCTAATAGTCAGCGCAACAGCATAGTATACATACACAAAAATGACCCTCAACCATGCCAAGAGGCCGGTTAGTCATCCCCTGAATATGAAAATAAACATGCGTCGCGCACTCGCTTCCTGCACGATTTCATCCCGTACCAAAGCCCAGGTACACGTAGTAGTATTTTCCTTCGAGTTTAATCATCAGGTTGGAGGGATATGCCCGGGACATGTCGCCGAATCATTGAGGATCTCTTTGTGATTTTCCTTTTATTGGAACTCATTGGAAATCACAACTAATTCACATGATTGGGCCAAATCCAGCACACTACTGCTGTAGAATAATGTGCTTAGGCAGTTAGGTTAGTTACGGCTGATTGAGGTGGATTATGGCAATCCAGTTTTCTGTCAATTGTTCTGTTTAGCTAACCAGATCACTGTCTCACGACTTCTTTTTCATAACAAATTATTATAAAATAAGTTTACTATATTGCACTACAGTTCAGCAACTGCAAAACTGAGCCTTTCATGTACTCTTTTTTTCTTTAAATTACGCCGCGTTTCTGCATCGCACGACACGTGGGCATGAAAAAAAAAATTGACGACAAATATTACAGAAATACCCAGCAACAAAGTGTTCCTTCCTGAATGAAATGCACATGGCGGCAAAAAAAAAATGCTGGAAAAATACTCAAAACCAGTTCGTGGAAGAAAAATAAAATAAACGATGTCGTTATTGAGATAAGATAATGATGATACGGTTAGGAGCAAGGCAAAACAGTTTAAGAAAGAGACGGCGGGCGACGAGCCGAACGGGTCGCCGGCACTCCTCGCTGTCTTAACCATCCATCCATCCATCCGTCCGTCATCGCCGCCGACGATGCGGCAGTCAATTGCCCCACGAACACTTCCGCCACAGATACGGCTGTCGTCGGGGCGCCCCGCTTCAAAACCCAGATGACCCCGCGGACAAGTCACGACGAGCCCGCACAGAACGGCAATGGCGTCCTCCTCCTCCCCGGCGGCTCCGTTGCTCCCACCTTGTCAAGATGAGCAGGATAAGGAGGACGCAGGTGCTCGGAGCGACGGCGGGAGTCAGCGGGAGCAGGTACTGGTTCTTGGCGATTTGAGCTTGGGAATTACTAGCTTGTGGTAGATTGCTGATGAAATCGGTGGCTTCTTGCTTGCTTGTGCTTCGAAGGGGGTGATGCGGAGCTGGGCGGAGGCGGCGCTGCTGTGCTGCGGCGCGGACTGCGGCGACGCGGAGCGGCTGTGGCGCAGGGTGGTGCTGCGCAAGTGGCTCAACGTCGGCGCCGGGTCCGGCGACTCCGACTTCAGCGCCGACGAGTTCGAGGCCGAGGCCGAGACCGACGACGAGGAGCCCGGCCACCAAGGTCCGCCCATCTCCTCTCTTCGGTGATCCATTCCCCCATTTCCTGCGCACGAGCCGCTCTGCTTCGATCCCTTTGGAGGGGGATTTTTTGTGCTTACAGAAATGCAGACCACCACATTGCGAATTTGCAACGCCGATAGCCTCACAATGGATGATTGGCGAGCCTTCCCAGCTCAATTGTTCATTGCTCGCTTTCTCGTCTGAGTTCATGATTCATGAGCGTCCCCAGTTCAGTTCCGTACGGGTATTTTTTTTTTTTTTTACAACCGGGCTCACACCCCTTTCCATTAATTTTTGCAATCAACGGAAATACATCAGTCTGAGATTCCAACATTTTTGCTCAAAGTACCAGAATGATAACTCGAACTAAATGGGACTAACCCGAAGGCTACAACTAACTGCAAAAGCATAATGAGCCTGAAAGGGGGAGGAGCGAGCTGGTGCATCATCAGGAAACCCACCGCGTGATGATCCTCGAGCGGACCATCTGCCATGGGGCAAAAACCTGATGACACAGGCAAGCCAAAACCCAACTAAGGATAACCTATTTTTTCCAGAGAAGCAACTACCAGTATGTCTCCACGCCTAGCCAGATAAGACCAAGAGACAGAAGTCCAGCGGGCATCAAACCCCAGTGGATGATATTACCAAACAAGGGAACTCAAAGCATCGAACTCCAGCTAACCAATCTGGATTCCATCCCTGTCGCCCAACCGGAGCCTGTCTCGAGGAAAGGGCCTGTCCGCCAGCACAGCAGCCGCGTGCGCCAATCTCTTCACGCCATCCTGAAGCTTCACCTTGTCTTCTGCCTTGAGCAAACCTGCCCAATATAACATAAACGAGCAGGCAGTGAAAACAGCCTCGAGGGGAGTACGAGCTACATAATTGTCAAAGGTAACTTTATTGCGGAGACCCCAAATCCCCCAACAGATAGCAGCAATGATCATCATATAAAATTGATCCCCTCCTGGGAAAAACCTATAAAACCATGCAAAGCTTTGCCAAAGAGATCGGGGGCAACAAGAAACCCCTACAGTCATCCCCAGCGTGCCCCAAACTGTGCGGGCGAGTGGGCAGGTAAAAAATAGGTGGTTTGCGGTCTCTATGTCTGTGCAAAAAGAACATATAGGATTCCCAGGCCATTTTCGGGTGCGCATATTGTCTCTTGTTAGCACCGCATTCTGGAATAACTGCCATAGAAAGATTTTGATCTTCAATGGAACTGGGGCTTTCCAAATCCACTTATAATTAGGACCAGCCAGGTTTCTTTCCAACCAACCATACATTGACTTTGTCGTAAATTTCCCTTTACTGTTTAAAGCCCATGAAACATTATCTGGGTCATTATTCAATGGGAGTTTTTTCACCTCATCAACCATCCAAGTCCATTGCTCTCCCAACACACCTGACACTCGTCGTCTAAAATCTAGAGTATAGCCCTTCTTCACCCAGGACTCAAGGGTACTCTCCTGATCATGGCAGATGTTAAACAGATCAGGGAATCGATCTTTCAGAACGGTATTTTCTGTCCATGGATCATGCCAGACCCTAGCCAGGTTACCACTATTGATGATGATTTTCCTACCAGCCATATATGAGTCTTTGACCTTCATGATAGCTTTCCAGCAAGGGGAATCAGATACACGACTCCGCACATTGGCTACTGTTTTGTTATTAAAGTATCTAGCTTTGACTATACGCTGCCACAAGCCATCGCTAGTTTCAAGTTTCCACCACCACTTGACAAGCAAAGCTACATTCTGCTTATGAAGATCTTTAACACCCAACCCTCCAATCTTCTTAGATCGACAAACTCTCGCCCATTTAACCATATGATAACCATGTTTCTTGTTCTTCCTCCTCCAGAAGAATCGTCTACGGTGTTTATCCATCTTTTCAATAAAGGTTTTATTGAAAAGAAACATTGACATGAGGTATGATGGAATCCCATCAAGGCTGGAGCTTAGCAAAGTAAGTCTAGCCCCTGAAGATGCCGCATATGCCACCCAGGCATCCAGCTTTTTAATCAGTTTACCATCAAGTATGGCCACGAGTGCCGTGCGGGTCATCTCCCTGGTCGATGGCGACCTCCACCGTGATGTCCGGCTGCTAATCCACTTTCTGCAGACCACCGGTTTCGTTTGGCATATTGCCACACTCGACATTTTTAACCAGGAGAAAAGTTTGGTCGAGGAGTTCGAGGATTCCAAATTCCTGATGCCTTTTTGTTTCGTCTCAAAGCCTGCTTGATTGAGCCAAAAGGGTTAGCAAAAAGTTTGGCTGCTTTTGAACACCGCCTTTTCGAGGCTGCCTTTTTTTTATGCAGAAAGGGGAAAAGAGCAAAGAATGGCTGTTAATTTGTTTTGTGCCTTGTAAGAGAGGATCTAAATCTTTTAGAAAGGGGAAAATCCATGGCGCTTTATATGCGTAGATTTATTGAGCTTAAATCTGCAGATTGATATCGATGATCATACGTGTTCTGACCGCTATGTTTGCTCCATCTGTGCAGAGAAGTGCTGTTGCTGGGAACACAAACTGTTTGATGAGGAGAGGAGATCGCGTGGACTTGGTGCGGGCACGATTGGTAATTTAATTGTTGTCTCATTTGTTGGAGAAGAATGTATGGACAAAACAGTTGTTGGCAGTTCGATTTTCTTCTATATATTTTCCCCATAAGAGGAATTGGGTCCTACC